AAGCAAAGCCCAAACCACACCCACTGCCGTGGAGTCCATTCTGACCCACAGCGCCCCTAGAGGACAGAGTGGAACTGCCCACAGGGTTTCCAAGGATGTCAATTTTCACGAAAGCCGACTGCCACATTTTCTCCTATGGAGCAGCTTGTGGGTTCAAAACCACCAACCTCTTGGTTAGCAGCAGAGTGCCTTAACCACTGTGCCACCACAGCATGTTATCACTGGGTCAAGGGCCCCACAACCTCAGAACTATGACACTGGGGAAGGTGGAGTGGGGCCGCCAGGTGAGGACAGAGGCTCACCTTGCCCAAGAGGTGTGAAAAAATGGGGGGGAAGTTCTTTTCCTAAGGCCGTTTCCTCTGTTCCAAAGCCCACTCTCCCCACCCCTCATGTTGTGGATATGTTTTCCCTCCTAGTCTCTGGCAGACCCAGAGTCCCCAAGGCGTTCCTTGCTGCCCCCAAAGTCCTGAGGAAGGTTCTGGAAGCTTCTTTGCACAAGAACCCGGCCAGAAACTCCATTAGCCATGCCTGCAAGAGTCTGAGAGGTTCCGTGACTCTCCCTGGCCTTGGGGGACAGGACCGATGGCCTGTGTGCACCCACCACTGCAGTCCTGTACAGCCCCCAGAGTCCCCCAGGATCCTTTGTGCTACCACGGGCTGGGCCACTAAGGCCTCGAGGCTCCACCACAGGGGTACAGAGGGTCTAAGGACAGACTCTGACCCCAGTCATCCCACTGCAGCCCTAGGGCTTCTGGAAGGAGAGGACACGGCCCTCCACACCTCACCCACCCACCTTCCTTCCAGCCCCAGCTGTGGGGGAGTGTGGCCACGAAGGAGCAGCGTTGTGGCTTCCACAGCAATGGCTCCCCCAGGCCCAGCACGGGGATGTCCTCTTCACAGCCCCAGCCCACCACTCTGGAAGCAGGGAGGGGATGTTTTGGACGCATGCAGCCTTTCCTACGTTGTTCCTTACGTCCATGAGGGGCAGGAGGAATGATAGCCCATCACTCCTTGGAGAGAAGTCCTGGGGCCCAGGGCAGCTGTGGCCTCCTAGGACCGTGCTCTCCAGGACACTGGTCCCTGTGAGAGCTGTGGGAGGTCACGGGGGTGGAGTCACCTGGCAGCCGGGCTCCGCGGGTGGGGCTTGTTCAGGGGGCACTCTGCTCCCGCGGCCACGGTTGGCTAAGAGCGCTGTGGGCACAGGTGCGGGCTGGTGTGTTCTCTGCGGGGGCGGCGTTCGCCTGCTTTGGATTGAATGGCATCTCCCCAAAAACTATGTCCTAACCCCATACATGTGACACCACGGATTGCACTCCACTACTGACTGAGGGTTGGCAGTCTGAACCCACCCAGCGGCGCTGTGAGAGAAAGGCCTGTCTATCTACTTGCAAAAAGATGGCAGCCAAGAATTCCTGTGGGGCGGTTCCACCCTGTAACACGTGGCGGCGCCAGCAGTCGGCAGCCACCTGATAGCCAAGGGTTTGGATTTGGGTTTGGGCTTGGTTTTTGGTTTGCGTTTGGGGTTTGATTTTGGGCTTTGTTTTGGGTTTGAGTGTGGTTTGATTTTGGTTTGATTTTGGTTTGGTTTGGGTTGGGATTTGGTTTTTGGTTTGGTTTGGGTTGGGGTTGGGCTTGGGTTAGGCGTGGGGTTGGGTGTGGGGTCTGGGTCTGGGTCTTGTTTGCTTCCAGTTCTGGTTTCAGCTTGCCCCCACTGGCTAGGGTTCGGGTTTTGGTTGGGTGCCCGTGACTGCATCTTGTGGGAAGGAGGCAGGTTCTGTGGAAGCAGAGAACAGGTCAACTACTCATGTCCTCCTGGGAGCCTCCCCCAGCACCAGCAGCAGGTCCCTGTCTAAGAACCTTCTGTGTCTCTGACTTTTATCACGCAGCAGCAGCTCCTAACATTTACTGGGATTTTCTTGCATGAGTTGGCACTTTCTGTGAAGAACTGGGCAGTGGAGCTCCCAAGAATGATTTCTCTGCCCCTGACGTGTTCTTGTCCCCAGGCCACTGGGCTGTCTTCACGCAGCTCCTGGAGGCGCCCCACGTCGGGGTTCTGGTGACAGGCTATGTGGCAGAGGGCCTGGCGGTGGCCGGCACTCACAGGAGCACCTAGGACGTGATCGTGTCTCCCCAAGTCGAGACGGGCAGGAGCATCCACGGAGCTGACTCAGAGAGGCACAGATCATCTCGCTGGGAGAGAGGGGCCGTGCACCTGGGCGGTTCTCCAGGGAGGAGCAGGAAGCAGCCCTTTTCCGAGCTCTGGCAGAGCAAAGGCAGCCTTTGTGGAAGGAAGGGAGCTGTACTATGAGGACCCTGGGTGGCACAAATGCTGAGTGCCTGACCACTAAGCCTAGAGGTTGGCAGTTCCAACCCACCCAGCAGCCCTGAGGAAGAAAGGCCTGGCAATCTGCTCCCACTGAGATCACAGCCAAACTCCCTCAAAAAGCTGGAAATATGAACACTACTGGGTCCAGCAATTGCACTGACAGTGAGATCTAGGACACAGATGTATGCACACCCACGACCATCAAAGCACTATTCCCAACAGCACAGAGATGGAAACAATTGACAGAGGAATGACTAACCAAACTGTGGTAGTGGTATATACACACAGTGGAATACTATGCAACAGTGAAGAATGATGTAGAACCTGTGAAACACCACACAACACGGATGGACTTGGAGGACAGCATGGTTGTCAGGTGCCATTGAGTTGTCTCCGACTTACAGCGACTCTGTGCCCAGCAGAATGAAGCACTGCC